AGAAGAGCATATCAATTATTTGTCCACTGTCAAACAGCCAGCCCTGAAAACATACATACAAGGACTGAGCAGGCTACGTTTAGGAATATATATGTGTGTGTGTGTGTGTGTGTGTGTGTGTGTGTATGCAATGACAATTAGCGAAAAAAGAAGCCATATATTTGAAGGAGCATGGGAAGGGATATATGGTAAAGTTTGGTGAAAAGGGAAAAATGTTCTAGTTATAATCTCAAAAAAAAAAAATGAGCAAGGTTTAAAAAGCTGTTTTATCCAGGAAGACATAGCAGTTTTACTCTAAGATCAAAAGCTAAAAACAAGTGTGCCTTGACAGAGGAATGGGTAAATGTGATCCATCTATACAGTGCAGTATGAGAAATAAAAGGAAATGCTGGATATATTTAAACTTTGTGTGAACCTCAAGTAACTAGGCTAAGTGAAAGAAATCAAAGTGAAAACAAACAAGCAAAACAACACACACACAAAAATAATCCACATACTGTGTGATGTCACTCATTTACTTTAGGAGAACCAAACTAAGTTCAGAAACCAGATTAGATACTGCTAAGGGAATAGAGAAAAAATTTAAAAACAAAGAATGAGGAGTGTGTGTGAGCGAGTGAGTGTGTGTGGGGGTGTGTGTGTGTGTTTTAGAGTTGACCTGAACTTTGATTGTGATTGCATAATCTGCACATGTTAAAACTTCAGATAGTAAAAAAAAAAAAAAAAAAAAAAAAATTAAAAAAAAAAGCCGGGTAGTGGTGGCACACACCTTTAATCCCAGCACTCAGGAGGCAGAGGCAGGCAGATTTCTGAGTTCTAGGCCACCCTGGTCTACAGAGTGAGTTTCAGGACAGCCAGGACTACACAGAGAAACCCTGTATCAGAAAAAAACAAAAAACAAAAAACAAAACCTTGAAATATATCAAAGAGTGAATTTGGCTATATGTTGAAAATGAACTTTTTAAAAAGCAAGTAATAGGTCTAGAGAAATGGTTCAGTGGTTAAGGGCACTGGCTGCTTTTCCAGAGGTCTTAAGTTCAATTCCCAGCAACCACATGGTGGCTCACAACCATCTGTAATGGAATCTGATGCCTTCTCCTGGTGTGTCTGAAGACAGCTACAGTGTACTCACATACATAAAATAAATAAATCATTTTTTAAAAAAAAAGAGCAAGTAATAGTACTCGACAATTCTCCATGGAAAAAGAGCTTGTCCTCAGAACAGGAAGCCAGAAAACAATGCTTGGAAGCATCTGGACTCGTGGTGGCACACACATACTATGATGATGCACCATGTCTGGCATCACTTTAGTGGCACTGCCAAAAGGACATAGCCTAAACTAGTCACAGAAAAAGACGGCAAAAGCCAAACAGAGGCAAAAGCCAAGACAGGTCTGCAACCTGTCTTGATTTCTTTCAAAATGTCAATTAAAGAAAATATACTCTTAAAGAAAAGGCTAGTCCAGATCAAACACGTATGAGATGCCAGTGTAATGCAGAACCTTACATTCAAGTTTCCTGTAAAAGACTTTACAGAGACAAATGCCAAGACCTTAGCATTCTACTGATCAGGTAAAAGTTTTGAATCAGTGTTCATTTGTGAACAGTGTATTAATTACTATTAAAAATTTTCTTGTTTTTAGAATGAAAATACTATCTCAGACAGAGTTATCCAACTTGTAGATACTGCAACACAACTCATTGTTGGGCCACATAGCTATCCTTGAACACACATAACATTTGGGTGCTGGCTGGGCATACCAATGCTAAAAAAGCATTACCCTTCTTTTATTTGGTGGGTGGTGGTAGAGGAGTGACATGCTGGGTACTCAACCCAGGGTTAGATAGAACCCCAGCCACTCTCTTGAAATGATCCAACTTAAAACTAGTAAGATGGAACAAGAATGCCATCAAGGTAAACGATTCATTTGTCAAATCTGCCTCAGGAGCACCGGCTCTGAATATAGTCCCAAACATGTCTCTTCCATGGGTGAGCCTTTACTGTTTTCTCTCAGGAGCACCAGCTCCGCGCCAGCGTGTCTCTTCTAAGGGAAAGCCTTTCACGACTTTTCCCCTTCGCCTCCTTTGTCATTTTCAGCCACCTGGACACATTCAGTTCCATTGGTTTGCCTGGAAAGCAGCGGGTCCAGGGCCCAGCTAGCTCCCCTCACCTTCTCTGCGACCGGTCCCCCGGTTGGCCTGGTCCCTTCCCTCTGTGGTTCTTAGCTCTGCTCTGGGTCTTCCCCTTACATCCTGCCACCTGCGACCTATACCACCACAAATACTAAGGTTGGGGTGATATGGGACATGCTTGCTTTTCTTTACTCACTGCTGCCAGAGACACTGGACAGCAGCTTCCAGCTGCTAACAGGAAGTCCCGCCCTGCTGCCACCAGCAGACCTGCCCACAGCATCTGTGGCTCACAGCTCCAGCCTGTCAGCTGTACCGTACGCCACTATTGCCAGCTTTCTTATTCTTGTCTTAACCAAAATGCTACTTTGCTAATACAAAAATGTGCTTTTCTCTTCCTATGCAACCCACCAAAGTTACTTAAGACTCTTTCCTAACCTGCCTCGATAGATTTTTATTCAGTTACAACCAATCCTTATGGCTCTCAAGCTTGTCAGAAGTCTGCTAATCGTATATTTTAAGTTTATGGCTGACAGAATTCCCAAAGCCTCTAACAGTTAGCCCAAGATGATTTCAGAAGACCTGGACACCAGACTCCTAGAACATACAGCCTAGATTGTATGTGGACAAACATAACTGGATACCCTGAGTCAAATGACTTGGCTAAAACAAGGTAAGTCATTTCTCATGCCACGCATGTCATGTCCACAGAAAAAAGCCCTTCGTTGTCCGCACTTGGAAACCAAACTGACTTCACCCAAGAGACTATGGAAACCATGGGAACTGTTGGCTAGTGGACTCTGTCATTTTTTTAGAAAGTAATATATAACTGGTAGATTGTTGTTTACTCTTTCTCAGACTTCTGACTACATTGACAGCTAAGTTTTCACAGATACTATCTGTTACCTCATTACCTAAACTCAGTTGAACGACTGCTTGTGTTAACTCATGCTGTTATCTCTTTTGGAAACTTATAAGCTACAGGAAACCCACTCAGATCTACCTCTCATGGATCAAATAGATGCCATCCAGATAAGTAAAGGTCCCACTCACTACCTATTACAAAGGGTGGGATCCCTCTGGGTTTCAAATGTACATCTTTTTTAAAAAAAAAAAAATTCTTTCTTCAAGTGTTCTTAATCTTATTTCCTACATCTTGTCTAGTCCAGGTGCATCCAATACAGCTCCAGAGAAGCAACCTGCAGATGCTCCATCTCCTGCCACACACACAGCTGCTTCTACTGGACCTGATCCTTCTGACCTATCCTCAGATGGCTCGCTTCAGACCCTAGACATCAGAAAACAGCCAGTTCTCCTAAGACCGGACAAACATCTCCCATTCTTCTAGGTTCCCCCTAGAGACACATCGCCTCCAATGCCAGCAGGAAGTAGCCAGATTTCACAAAGACCCTATTCCTGCTTCGACACCACCTCTAATTTTTCTTTTTAATTAAACTAAAACGTAGGAATGTTAGTAATCTGTTAAACTCCACCTCCACAGTTACCTGGCAACAGGAAGGTAGCCCTGCCCACTATAAAAGGGGCTGCTTGGCCCCTCCTCTCTTGGCCCCTCGACCCTGCGCCTGCAGGTTGCCATCTCCCCTCCCCCCTTCCCTTCCCTTCCCCCTCTCTCCACGTGGTCATGGCCAGCCTCTACCCTCTCTACTCTTCTTTCTCTTCTCTCACTCTCCCACTCTTAATAAACCTCCCCTCGTGGAAAAAAAAATCTTAATAAACTAGCCAGTAGTAAAACAAATGAGAACTTGCTATGGTCAAGCCCATCTCTGAAGAACAGCCATGCCCATCATTCCACCACCAGGACAGAAAATGCTTTTTAGATGAATATGCATACAGAAATGAAGGATGGTAGGATGTTTGGGCCTTTACTCTTAATTGCAAAAATTTTGGTAGCTGAATCTTAAGACACTGAGCACTAGTTTCCATCTCCAATGGTATGTAGAGACAAGCAAAAGACATTCACTATAGTGTGTTTAACAAGTCTGATGTTGCCTATAGAAACAAGACCATAAAACTTCATTTTCAAATTGTTTATATCCAGGCCAACACTCTTCTTTCAGAACATGTAAGGTTTCATAGATTTTCCTATTCCATCATCTATAATCACATTCTTGCTGATGAAGACCAGTTACGTTCAATGACAGAAGCTTACAGGAAGTGCCAGACATTTTTATAATATAAGCAAGCCCTCACCCTAAGCTGCTGCCCAAGGTAGAATAAAAAAAGTTATTTAACCTATAAAACTAGTATGTATTCCATAAACATCTATACATTTTAAATATATTTCATTCTAATGAAATAAAAATTAAAATAATCCTCACTTAAAATTTTTTGTAGAGCTAAAACTGTAGCTCAATGATAGAACACTAAATTTGGAAGCACAAGGCCTTGGGTTTAATCTCAGAAATGGGGAAGAAAGATGAGAATACTAATTCTATGTAGAAATAAAAAGCTTAACTTCCCAATTTTCTGATGATCAACTGAACCTTCATTTTCCTACCCCAAGGATAAAATAGTGATCTAAAGTGAACCAAAATAGATTAGTTTATATTAAAAGTGATTCATACATATTTTTATATGTTCATAGGGCAATCAATATAAAATCAATGTAAGAGGTTGGTTTATGCTCCAATATTTGGTTAATATTCTTAATACTCAAAGAATCCTAACTTTTAGTCATCTGAATACAGCACAATAGTAATAAAAATACTACAGTGCCTCCTATATTAAAAATCAAACCAATAAAACTGCATACATGATCATATCAATAAGAATTACATTCCATCTAATCTCTTATTATCTACCAATCAAATGGTGAAACCTTTACAATACTTAAATGAACAAACAAAATAGTAATTTATTCAAGTTTATTCAAGTTTATTCAAGTTTAAGGTCAAATTTCTCCTTTCAAAATATAAGGGAATACATGTACTATACAATAAAAGTTATTTTGCCAACTTCCTGAGGCCACAGATATCCAAACAGCATATAATATGACTCATCATGACATCATTGATGCACCTTCTTCACCAGTGGCATCTTGAGAAATTTGAAGGTCTTCAAGCATCTCAGCCAGACTAATTCGAGGTGCTCCTTCATCATCTGTGTCACTTTCCACAGGGATGGTTGAATCTAAGGAAGCAGACATTAATCAGTCCCATATACAAATATGGAAATACATAAACAACAACTACTACATCATCACTACTAAGCAATCATGTTGTAGTAGAAGCTCTCAGCTCTTATTTTACAGCAAGTTTTCAAATACTGAATAAATGAGCAAATTAAATGTACAAGACCTAGCAACTTAAAGGATCAGGTTCAGAAACAACTGCATCATATGTACATAGCAAACATTTAATAAATTATACTGCTCCTTATTATCTGTTAAGTAAAAGCCTAACTACAATAGTTTATAAGACAAATAAAAGTCACTTATAAAAACCCAAATACCCTCACTAATACTATCTACAACATGTTCAATACTCTTAAAACACCAACCTCTGTAAATGTTGACATTTTTTCTAATTGCCTCATCTTCTTCAAGATCTTCAAGAAAATCTTGATACTGCCTGTAAGAAAAAGAAACTTTGAGCACTGTACTAAGTGGTATACTATTCACAAAGGTCAAATATGAATGTTAATTAAGTAAGTAGCCTGGAAAACAAATTCCCTTGCAATATTACATATAACTGCTGAATATTAAGGTGATGTTAAATCTAAGACAATAAAAAATTACCTCCCACCTCTAGTCCACCCAACCAACCAAATTCTTATGGGCAAGCAAAATATGTAGCTGATTAGACTATAGTCGATTTGGAATGTTCTGCTTTGTGTTTTAACAGTATTTACTTGCGTGTGCATATGCGCATGCACTAGATGTGTGAGGGTATCCAGAGGCCTAAAGAAGACATTGGGTGGTCTGGAAGAAGAGACAGAGGTGACTATGAGCCACCCAATGTAGATGCTGAGAACTTAACTTCGATCCTCTAGAAGAACAGGAAGCACTCTTAGCTATGAGAGTCCAAGAAACAGCCCAGAGACCAACATTGTTGAGTCAGTTCTCTTCCTCAGTTTTTACGATGGTTCTAGGGGCTGGAATTCTGGTGACATGGCTTGTACAGCAAGACTTTTTAGTTCCTACACCATATCAGCAGGCTAAGACTACAGCTGACATAGTCAAGAATGTACTTCTAAACAGTTTAATATATTCTGTGTGTGTGTGCACACACGTGTATTACATTGTAATTCTGTTGCTTCCCAATAATGCAAACTCTTCCTTCAAAAAAAAACAATGTTTTTTTCTGGTTTTTTTTGTTTTTTGTTTTTTTTGTTTTTTTTTTTTACTAACATCAAGAATTGAGGACACAGGCTGGAGAGATGGCTCAGTGGTTATGAGCACTAGCTGTTCTTCCAGAAGACCCAGGTTCAATACCCAGCACCCACATAGCAGGTCACAACGGTAACTGTAGTCCTAGAAAATCAGACGCCTTCTTCTGGCCTCGATTGGCACTACATGCACATGGTGCACAGATATAAATTCAGACACTCATACACATAAAAATAAATAAAAATCTCAAAACAAAGACAAATTCAGGCCACACACAGACACATGTGCACACAATTACACCACCACACACACACAGAATTAAGGCCACATTTAAACCATTCAATAAACATTTTTTAAAAAACATTTTTGCTTGCTACCTGAAAATATCTAATGTGAATGAATTAGTTTTTTAGGCTTAAGACATATAAAAATCATCTATTTGTGAAATCCATAAGATAACTGTTCATTATACTTGAACTTTTTAACTAAATTATTTACATTAAAACTATAATTATAAAGACAATAACCCAAGAAATAATTACTGAGCCTGTATAAAATCATTATTTTTTTTTATGGATTCTCTTATGTAGATTCCATTTATAGTTTCTAAGAATCTGAAGTTAATTTTTAGTGCAAAGATCTATTGGGTAATATCAATTTCTTTACAGTATAAAACCAATGTCTAAGGCTTTCCCTTGCAACTACTTTTAAGGGTTCAGGAAAGCAGGACCTTTCATCATCTGTGTCCATGTCTTCTCTGTCTCTCGCAAGCTCTTTGAGTTTCCAGTTTCTACGGCGCTGGCGTTTGGTACGGTCATAGCTCTTCTTAATTATCACCTGAAAACAGAAGTACTTGCAGTTATGAAACACTCAACCACACAGTAGGGGGGGAAAAAAACTCAAACTTGGGCATGCCAGGAAATCAAAATGATGGCAGCGGTTATATTTCAGGAGAAAGGTGTAGAGGTTAAGAGGCAGTGTCACGAGGACTTTTAAAACGTTTACCATGTATGAGGATGCATTTGAGCATTATTTATCTAACTGTGAAATTTTCAAATGACTAAATGTTAAATTTTCAATACCCAAAATCTGCATTGTTTTCTCTTCAAATTTCAACTTTCAGCCACCATTCATACAGCCCATTTTGAAACATTACAGATAGACAACTTTGTTTTTTCACAGTAATAAGCACTTAGAAAATTTACAAGTCTTTTATAACATTTAATAATTATGTAGTAGTGAAAATATAACCTTTTTAAGAAAAGTAGTGATCTCCTCATTTTAATAAATACCAATTCTGAAACTGGAGAAAGAACTCGGTGGTTATGAACATCTGTTCTTGCAGAAGAGCTGAATTCCATTCCCAGCACCCACATGGTGGCTCACAACCATTTGTAACTACAGTTCCAGGAGAACAGACACCCTCTTCTGACCTCCATCAGCACTGCACACTGGTGCACACCAATACATGCAGGAAAGACATTCATACACATTAACTGAAACAAATCTAAAAAAGAATTACTCATTCTGATTCATACCCGATTTTTTTTCTATTTTATCAACTGAAGAACAACCCGATGAAACAGGAATCTCCTATTACCAGAACTTCATTTTTGCTCATAAAGAAAGTCATGACTATTCTAAAAGGATTAAGCAAGTAGGAATAGGATTATTACCCTTCATTTCATTCATTGCTGTTTATGAACTTTAAATTCACCGTATTACAAATCTATAGACTTTTTAAAGGTAAAACTCTTTTCCAAGAGTTGACACTATGAAGATTATTTTAAATTCTAATGTGTACTAATATTGAATAATGGTCTTAATTCTAAATGCCCTGTGAAGTAGAGAAACTATATAAAATAAGCTAACAAGACTGTGACTGAAAAAAAATTTGTAAGTTATCATTTCTAAGTACAAACGTATTTGCACTCTATCACCAGCATGAGTTTTGTTTGGCAGTACTGGGTGATGGAAGCTAGGGCCTTATGCTAGGCAAGCACTGCATTTTATAAGTCCTACTGTCCATCTTTTGGGTTTTTTGTTTTTTGTTTTGTTTTGTTTGTTTGTTTTTTTGAGACAGGGCCTCTTTTCACAAACTAGTCTTAAAGTCTAATCCAGGTAGGTCTTGAATTTGTGATCCTCTGGCCTATACCATCAGGTCTGGTAGTATCAAGTGTTTTACCAAGAAAACAAAAATTCGATTGGTGGATGGGGTGCTGAATAAATTCTAAGAATTAATACAGAAACAACAACAAAACTAATCTAAAGCCTTACCACATCTGGAACTCTGTCTGAGTTCATTTTGTTGACATGTTCATCATTTAAGTTACAGTTGGCCAAATCAAATCTGAAATATAAACAATGAGAAGTTTAAGGAGTATGTATCCTTTGAATATCATTTTACTCTCTCTATATATAGCATTATAAATACACATCTATCTTCCTAAGTGAAAGATTTTGTATGCCCCCCACTTTAAAAATTTTGAAGCTAAGAACTCATGCCTTCAAAAGCTCTAGAGGCAGAAGCAGTCAAATCTCTGTGAGTTCAAGGCCAAGCTGGTCTACAGAGGTAGTCCCAGGATAGCCAGGACCACACAGAGAATCCTTGTCTTGAAAAGTCAAAAAGATCCTCTTCCAGCCTCTGTGGATACCAGGCACACACAGGCACACAGAATGCGTACAGGCAAAACATACACATAGAGCTTAAATTTTTCATGACAGGATCACATTGCACTATAAGTCTTTTCACTGTCCACTGTGGCTCCTCTTTCCCATAGATTTGTTAAAGAAATAAGACAGACATAGCAGCCTTAACTTCACAATTCAACTGAATGAGTCTGCATAGATAATAAATACAGTAAGCAACAACCTTTTATTCTCTTGTAAATGGAATTCAAACTCTGTGAACAAAACACACTAGATGTCTACCTCAAATGCATAAGTGGCTGTTATTTACTTTTATGGACTCTGTTTGGCATACAGGTTGTGGTGGTTGTTTTTTTTTTTCTTCAACTTTATTATATGTTCATGTGTGTATGCCTGCATGCATTTATATACACTTATGTGTGTGTAAGTGCCTTCAGAAATGTTAGATCCCTTAGAACTGGAGCTATTGGAGGTTATGACCTGCCTAATATGAGGACTGGGAATGGAAGTTGGGTCCTCTGCAAGAATAGTACAGACTCTTAAACTCTGAGGCATCTCTTCAGGCATCTCTTCAGCCCTATTTCCAAAAAGTGAAGTATTTTCACAGCCATAAAAGCTACCCACTCCATCAAAAGCTGTAATTACTTATCTAACTACACAAATTCAGTGTTTAATAGTCAAAAATCTTTGAATAAATGACTCTGAGATGATGGCCCAAACTACAGGCTTCTATGCATTCCATGGGTTTATAGTCATCAATAATAAAAATAAGCTAAAAGGGTCTTTAAGACTCTTAAATCTTTTGGAATTAACAAATTTGGCATTTTAAATATTTATTGGTTCCTGAAGAAAACCTGCAATGCTATCTGGCAAGTTAAAATACAACAAAATAAAACAAACCCCAGCACAAGGTCTCCAGGATTTAAAAGATGTCCCAAGTGAGTCCGGCAAAAATACTGTTTATCTGTATTCATTTCAGATGTCTTCTGGATCCAGACTTCCCCAAGGGTGTGCTTAACAGAAAAGAAAGAAATTGTTTCGTGGAAAAATTAAATATAATGTTGACTCTTTTCTCATGTAATATGCATTTAAAACAGCGTTCAACTTTCCAGAATTCTAAAACAGTCAACACTAGCAAATTACCAAATCAGGAATGCAGAAAATTACTTCAAAGAAAATCATAAAAACAATCCAAAACTTGTATAAATCATTAACATTGCCCCTTGAAAAGTACACACACCATACACACATAGCATTTGCACAGGAAAATGTTTTCATAGAGACTGACTAACTAAGACTGAGCAAAAAAGTAACTAAAAAGGCAAAAGAATCCTAAAGTAAGAAAACAGTCTAAGCAAATGCTTGTAAGACCCAAGACTTAAAAAGAAAAAAAAAAAAACCAAGAGTTCAGAAAAACCTACGAATTTCACCAAAACACCAACACTGGAAACACAGGCACATGGCCCACTGGGCTGGAGAGAGAGCTCAGAGGATAAAGATTACTGCAACAAGCCTGATGATCTGAGTTTGATCCTCGGACGTTCACATGGACTCGTGCACATGCACAGCTCCCCTCTCCCCAAATAGAATTAAAAATACTCATCATCTTAAACACTCATAACAAATTTTAGTTTACCAAAATGTAGATGCCCTTTTAATTAAGAGAAAATACAATAAATGAAGTCAGATGGCATTATAAACAAACAGTAATAGAGATCGAGAAGGTAGCAAAGTCTACAAAATATGGGCACTTTCAGGTTAAGCAGCTGGTATCATAACAAGACAGGAAGGCATCACCACCGAAGATTTAAGAATTATAATATTCATATAATTTAACGTGTGCTCCCCACCTAGATATTAGTCTGAACCAACTTCAAAACTTCTGAGACTGAAAAAAAAAAAAAAGTATCTATTCATAGACCAAATGTAGTTCTCATAGTGATAATCTGAGTAACTCAAAAGGATCTCTACGATGTACAAATAAATATCTATGGATGATTTCATATTTAGTAATGATTTGAAATGAAAGTCAAGGGGGCTGGAGAGATGGCTCAGTGGTTAAGATCACTGACTGTACTTCCTGAGGTCCTGAGTTCAAATCCCAGCAACCACATGGTGGCTCACAACCATCTATAATGAGATCTGATGACCTCTTCTGGTGTGTCTGAAGATAGCTACAGTGTATTCATATATAATAAATAAATAAATCTTTAAAAAAAAAAAAGTCAAGAGATTGTCTACTTGGTTCCCTCTAACAAAATAAAGGGGAAACATGACTTTTTCTTAATTAAAAAAAAGAAAAAGGCCTTTTCCCAATACAAAAAGAAAAAAATTAACTTTAGTCCAGCAACCTTACCACAATGAGTCCATTATAATTTTATTTTATTTTTTGTGAGACAGAGTGTCAGTCTGGTATTAGACATGTAGACCAGGCTGGCCTCAAACTCAGAGCTCCAAATGCCTCTGCCTCCTGAGTATTGAGGTTTACGGGATGCACTACCACACCTGCTACCATGGCTCCATTTTAGAAAAATTATATTTCTTACTTGTATGTGTGTGTTTATGACAGGGGATATTGGCACATGCCATAGCACACAGCACACATCTGGAGGTCAGAGGAAAGCTTTCTAATGTGGATTCCAGGGATTCGATTCAGGTCATCAGATGTCACTTTTTCCTGCTGAGTGACCTCTTCTGGCCCCTCACTAACTTCATGGGTGTTTTACTGTAGCTGGTCTCCACATTTTATAATTACCAACAACTAAAAGCCAAAAATGTTTTTAAAAGAACTGAAATGATATTGTCACAAAGTGAGTAAAAGATGATAGACAGATGCTGCTTACCTTTTTTGATATCACTCCAGCCCCCGCACTCCGCTTCAGATCTCGGACTATGCTGCATTCTATCACAATAAACTCTTCAAGCTGTTTAGGATGGCATAAACTATTGAAAGGATGACTCCAGAAAGTGTTTCCATCAATATCTGCAACTAAAATAAGCAGAACACTCAGAATAAGATAACTGACAAATTTCCAAGTCATCTAATGTGTTAATCAGAAATATTTAGATAACAAGCAGGAAGTAACTGGACAAAAACTGAAGTCACTCTAAGTCACTACTGATTTCCATACATGAGCTCCAAACCTCCCATGGAACAAGGGAAATGTCAGGTGTCAAAAATATTTATATCTTGTTACTATAATCTGAATGCCCTGTGGCATTCAATCTGTTTTATGGTGATTTCATCTGCTGGCATCTTATGGCAGAAAGTTATTAGTCGCTCTAGGTTATAAGACACAAAGCCTACTTTTGTCTAACAGATAAGAATGCCCTTTTCAGCATTCTGCAGATAGTTACTATTACTGCAAATAGACCTTAGATGGTGATATAATCAGTGAGTTTCTGAAAAATAGCAAAATAACAGAAAATTGATAAGAAACAAGAAAAAGATGAAGCAAACCAATGCCAAAACTACCACTACCTAGTCTTCCTTTTTGAAAAAAGGATTTATATAAAGATATCCTAAAAATGACCCATACTAATGATAAAAAGTTAAAATTCTAATTTAAACTACATATCCCAATGAATCATAGCTCAAATGTCCCCAAATTTAAAATAGCTGTTTAAAAACTAAAACTTGCAGGCTAGGCATATAGTTAACAACAGAGTCCCTGCCTAACAGGCACAGGGCTCTGGGTTCAATGCTTGTGCACAGGCACACAAACATTTGGCAATAGACTTAGTGACAAAAAATGCATGAAGCTGAAGTTTTTCATTAAAATGAAAGGAGTAAAAGTATAAAATATCTAAAAGTTCACAAATTTGTTTCTTTAAAAGAGAAAAATATGCTTTATAATTCTAATATTTTTAAAGTACTAAACTTTACCTATTAGTCTTCCAAAATATTATTATCAAGAATGACATTTGCGACTGGACGCGCAGCTTATTTAGAAAAATGCATGCCTAGGAACCACCAGGCCTTGGGCTCAATTTCTAGTACTATGTAACTGAATATCATGGCATACCTCTGTGATCCCAGTACTGGGGAGATAGAGGGAAGAGGGTCAGAAACTGAAGGTCATCCTTGAATATATAGATAGTTCAAGGGCAGCTAGGCTACATGATACCCTGCCTCCACGGGGAAAAAAAAAAGAGGGTGGCCACTAAACAACATAAATGCCTTGAGCAATTACTGTTTACCATAGGGTCAAAATTGTTAAGACTTTGTTCCAAAGCTAAATTTAGTTCCAAACCTTACCTTGTAGGGTGTTTGGGTCTATGAGATGGATGGCACTAGTTACTCGAATACAAATACATATCTGGCTCATATTTCCAAGGCTCTGTGCCAGTTTTGGTGACAGACAGACAACATTATCCTAAGCAAAAAGAAATAACATCTAAAATAAGGATAATTCTAAATTAGCAACCTCTGATAAATACTCATTAATAAACCTGATAAAACCATTCTGTATGTATGTATGTATGTATGTATGTAGAATTACCAAGCCTCATGATTCAGCCTACAGGATGCTACTACCATGCTTGGCTCCACAACATTATATTTCATTCTTGGGCCAACAAATGACCTGTAGATTAAGAACTTTATGGTTTCTCTACACACTTTCACATCCTTAAGATGGGTCTATTTGTCTCACCTGAAATGTTTTTAAGAATCTTTTTTATAATCAGTCTTGCACATCCACATGTTTGTTAAATTCATTTCAATTTAATTGTAACATAAATACCTGTTTGTCATTCTGTATGTTAATATAGTATGTATTCTAATCAAAGTATAACATTAAGAATAGAGTGACTTTCTAAATCTCCTTGTGACTGATTTCTTTTAATCTTCACAAAACCAAATTTCAATGGAAAATATGTTTCTCTTAAAATAGCTAAATGAGTATGTAATTAAAGATCAAAGATTTAATGACTGAAAAAGTCACATCTACATGTACAATTTTCAATTAAAAAATACTACTTAATCCAACAAGGTTATTTGTATGTGTCTTAACTGTATTAAAAGATACAAGTGGCTGGGCACAGTGGTATACACCTCTAATCCCATACTTGGGAAGCAAAGTCAGAGAATCTCTGAGTTCCAATCCATCAAAGATTTAAGAATGAGACCTTAAAAACAGAAAATAAATTTAAAAAAAAAAAATGATCTTGGTCATAAAGCTGTATCTATGCACATTTAAGGCTTTTCCACTGAGGTGGACTATATATTAACACCTACTCCAACTTTTGGGGTTGAACTCAAAAGCTCCCAAAACAAACAAATATATAATCAGCTTTCCATACCCATGTGTTCCATACCCACTAATTCACCCAACTGTGGATCAACTTTTTTATTAAGCACTACATCTGTACTAAACAGGTAGAGTCCTTTTGTTTTCCTTAAAAATACAGATTAACTAATAACCATTTACATAGCATATATAATATATGCTATGCTATATATTAGGTTTAAGTATCCTATAAGTAACATATACTGCACAATTTTATGAGAAATCTGTACATCCCTGGAGTTTAGCATCTACAGGGACTCTTAATTACCTACACATGCCACAATACTATATCTCCTTTCATTGTACTTAATACTCAGGCCTAAATATGCTGTCATACCTAAATTTATTATCCAGGCTTTTATTGTTTTTAAATGAGGACTGACAAAAAGTGGAACTCAGATAACTACTTTGGCTAGAACACCTAGGTCATTTGTTATAATATTATCACCCACATCTATGCATACATCAGGTACATATACAAAATTCTTACCCACACATATTCCAAAGCGTGTGTGTGTGTGTGTGTGTGTGTGTGTGTGTGTGTGTGTGTTGGTAGACACCACGTAAGAAGTGCTACAGTGGGCAAGTGAGCTCCCTGGAAACACTTGCTAGGCTATAACAGTGCACTCTGGAAAGGTATGGCCCTAGAGACTTCATCCCAGGACTGCTTCTTGCTACTGATGTGATTCTCATGTTTATCACTGCCACACTCCTCATTTATTTGGCTTGGTGTGAGTGGACACTGGGAGATTCTCACTGCCTGTAGCCTGGAGTGATTACTTCCTGAGGAATAGCCCACTCTGTTGGGCAAGTACCCTGCAGATCAACATGGGGCTCAAAGTTCTTGAGATAATACTGTTTAGATGAATTAATGATTTTATAGAATTACTGATTTAAGTAATTTTAGGAAGTTAAGCTTAATATAAATAATCTTGGCAAGTTAGAATAGTTGATTGAAAGTTTATAAAGTCAGAATCAAGAACAAAATGTGCTCCTTCCTCACAGAATGGCAAGAGCTGTACGAGTTAGAGAAAGGAGTACAGTGAGTGTTCATGCACTACAAGTACGTAATTGTAGTAGCAAGAAAAAGAGGCTTGGGACAAGTTAATGATCAAAGAAAGCACTCACCCTAGTTAGGCCTGAGTTCCTTGGTCTTGTGATCTAGGGATCTGGTTTTAGGATCACACCATGAAACAGAAAGGTTATAAATAAAGAATAAGCAATCCTATTATGAGTTTAGGAACAAAGAACAGATGATTAGCCAGTCTAGCTGACCAAGAATGTCAAAAATAGGTGACTTGTTGCTTAGCAAATCTATAACAAAAGAATTACTGCCTTTGGGATTACAATGAGCTTATAGAAAAATAGAATTGTTTAGTTAGATGTAAATTTCACAAAAACAAAATACATACTCAACAATCCTGTTGTAATTTCCTCTCGTGTGACAATTTTAAATCTGATTTTTAAGAATGTTTTTGTGGTGATTGTTTTTAAAAATGTGTAACTTGTGGCTATAAGGTAATTTTCTTACATAGAAAAATTTTGTGTTAAGAAGTATGAAAGGGTTAAGAGAAAAACTAAAACGCTGGAACCTGCCTTTGCTTCAACCACTCTGTGTGTGTATAATTTCCCCTTTGTTAAAAAGATTCAAAATATGTGTTTATAACTATGAATTGGAATGCCCTTTATTTTGGTGTATTATGATGAAAAGATTGGGCTGGTGAGATGGGTCAGCCTTCATCAAGTGCTTGGGATGCTAACCTGACAACTTCAGTTGGATTCCTGGGACTCATGTAAGAGGAGGAGAGAACCAACTCCGTAATGTTCTCTGATACCAACATGCAAAGTTAAGCATGTCAGAGATCATTGAAAGAAGTTATTCTTAATGTTTAGCTACCCAATAGAAAACCAAGAGCAATAAATTACTTATTCTCTTATAAATAAGGATTAATTACATGAAAAGAAGTACCTTGCATATTGGAACAATTTCCACAGAAAAAGTACTCTTGTAATTGTATGTGTTACTATGGATATCCTGGGAGATCAATCTTTGTGATGCTTTGTATCTATTAAAAAAAATATATTATCAATAGCCAATCAAAGTTCAATGCCTTCAAACAGCTTCCTGGTGGTGCAGTTAGCTTTAATTGTCAACTTGATACAATCCAGAAAAGGACTGAGCTGGTCTATGAACATACCTGTAGAAAAACATCTTAAGTAAATTGATGGGAGAAGACCCAGCCCCAAACTGTTTAGAGAAACCTAGCTGAGCATAAACAAGCAAGCAGGTGAGCAGGCATGTAAACATTGATTAACCTCTGTCCTTGGATATGATGTGACTCACTGATTTGATTACTCCATGATGGTAGACTATAACAACTGTAAGCCTAACAAACTCTTCCTTCCTCTAAGCAGCTTTCTGTCAGGTTGTTTTTATCACAGCAACAGCCATGAAACTAGTACACAGGCCAAAGCTGAATTTTATCCATATTGGAAACCTTCTTCAAAATGACTATACTCTAAGCCACACTAATGCACCTCCTGGGTCTTTGTTCCTGATAATCTTATCTTTTAATATAAACTCAGCTTACGAATATTTCTCCCATCTTGAAGGCCTAGCTCGTCTACTCAGCAGTGCAGTGCCTATTACTATGAAGTTAGGTTTAGCTACCGAACATTCATCAGCATTCTTTGGCTGATACAAAATGGATAACTCAATGCTTCATGATTGTTTAAATATGCATACTAAAGTTTTAATTGTAACAATGTCTACTATCTAAGCCTGAAGAACAGATATGACCTTTATATCTCCTGTTCCCATATCCTTGAACTTACAAATTTAGGTTCACAACATACCTACAGGGAACTGTACCCTGAAGAAACTCCACCATCTTCTGAGCATGTTGTTTTGAAGAATAATAAAAATCCAGACCATCTAAAAAAAGATTTTAAAAAAGTTCTGCAAAACAAGGTTTTCTTCTACATGACCACATCACAAAATCACTTAAACCCATAAGCAAAACAAACTATTAGAAAATATTATAACCAAAATAGTTTAGGAATATCAATTAAGACTTGTTTGGCAAAAAAAGCAGATAAAATCAGGTAAAATAAACGTTAACAAATAAAAACAAGACTCATACTAATTTACAAGAACAAAATTCAAGGCCAAGAGAGAAAAGGAAAAGAATAGTTTATGTAATAAATAAACAATCTGCCAAGAAAATGACAAATATTCACCTAGTTGATATGCATGAAAAAAATTACATACTGAGACTGAAGGAAGTCTCAGTCACTGGACAGCAGTACCTATCCCAGTGCAGTGTCATTTAACACTATCAACAAATCAAGAGCCAAATATAAATCTACTGCTAAGTACTTATGAGATACCTAAATAAGAACTCCATTTATCCATAAAAGGTATAACAATATCAAGGAAAATAAACAAATGCACAAGACTTACATTTCTAGACACAAAATTAAGACAGTATGAGACTAGCATAAAAGTCTAAGTTCATGCAAACTTGAGATTGCAGAAATAGGCTACTATATTTAATCAACAGAACTTAACAATTATTGGCATTTTTTTAATAGAGAAAAAATAGTTCTTCAATCCCTGAAAAAAAAAGATGAATTTATGCACTTCACACCAATTCAAGAGTTAAGACCTATGAGTTAAAACTGTAAAGCACCTAAAAAATAGGATATTTTTGTACCCTTAGCTGCCTAGAAGAGGTTTAGACCAAATGAGTCACTTAAAACACTCTTCAACCTGCTGAGCTGCCTGCCTGCAGGCTGTCTGTACAGTATATTCCTGGTTCCCAGCTTTGTCAGCTATCACACATGCTGAGGCGAGCTTTGGTGATACAGCTAACCTTGAGTTATTTCTATTCCTGTAAGTAACCCCAATAAAATATAATGGTTTATCAAGTTGGACTTTGGAGGTGTACTTTTGGTCTGTAGTAGGATCCCTATCTGGGGTTAAGAGATGTATGGGGTTGCATCTCCCACACTCTCAGGAAAACTTTTTATCACCCAACAGCTAAACCTCATCAAATTTGAAACACATTGGAACTGAAGAGATTTCTAAGCAGTTTAAGAGCCTCTTGCAGAGGACCTGGGTTCAGTTCCTAGACCAACATAGCAGCTCACAATCCTTTATGACTCTAATTCCAGGAGCATCTAATGTCTTCTTCTGGCCTTTGTGGGCACTGCACACACAGTACATTTACATACATGCAGGCAAGACATTCATACATATAGAAAATACATTTTAAAAAAAAACAAGAAATAAATGTTTGCAATACAAAGTAACAACATTTAGAAAAGGAGGAGATAGTCTAGGAGAAAACAACACCAATCATACAAGCAATACATTTATATGTAGAATATGCTTCATGTCATTAGTCCTTAGTGCAATGGAAAAGCCACAGAAGATTCCACTACAGACTTCCCTCTACAATATCTATAAACAAGGATAGTAAGTAACTAAAGTACAGAATCTGTAACCTTTCAACACTTCTGTCAGCAATGTAAAGACTACAGCCATTTGAAAATATACTATGGCAGTTTCTCAAACATAATCATCAACATAAATTTCCCATATAACTCAGCACCTCTGCCTTTAAGTATAGCCTCAAAGATAGAGGTCAAAAGATGCCTGAAGATGACAGATGTTACCTAAATTCCACAATGTGACATATGGACCAACAAACAAAATTAAATACATAAATAATTGTAGTGAAAGATTATTCAACAAGAGAACTATCTGAAAGAGATCTTAAAGGGAAATGAAATGACTTATGCCTGGGAGATGCCTAATGAAATAGCCTAAAGGATTCTTCAAAAGCATGGTTAATAAAACATTGAAGAAAAAAAAAGGTGAACTTTGTAACTTTCTCCAGTTAATTGATAACAAAACTGGACAGATTACATAAACACATTTATTGTACACCTCAGCATTTATCAATCAGAAACCTCAACAACTGCTTACACACAGAAGTCCCAGGACTAAGAAGAATGAAGCAGAAGCACTGAGAGTGCAAGATAGCCCTGGGCTGCAGAAACCCTGTTTTTCAACACAAACAGGTCTACATGTTTTTATATGTTTGAGAGGGTATGGAGTGTAGTGCTAGTGAGCCTTTGTTTTGTTGTTTTTCTGAGATAAAGAGTATAAAGTTGGAGGGCAGTATCTGGGAAGAGTTGGGAGAGGGGGAGAATATGAATAAAATATATTGCACAAAAATTATTTTAAAAATTTAAAAAACAAGAGAAAAGGAAATGAAGCTTCAACAAATTCTATATATTTGTAGCTGGAAGGTAACCAACATCCTAAAAACACATGCAAAACTAGGCAAAGTAGATGACAACAGATGACTCACATTAGAAACAAAAAGATTAAGATGCATAAGAAAACTATTATCCCTCATTACTAATCAAGAGGTAGAGATTAAAACAATCTGCCATTATCTTGTCCAAAATTTAAAAAAGACAATACAGTTCTTAACCACTACCAGCAGGTGTCTGGACAAATAAAACCTTACCAGTGCTGGGAAAGTGCAGTAGCGCTTTGTAGGACATCAAAATTTATATTTGCATTCTCTTGTGCAGTAATTCCAATTCCTTCAATCAATTCCTAAGAATTCAATCACTTCCCAAGAAAAACTACTACACATATACAAAGATGAACATATGAATAATTATTCAGTGCTATTCTTAATAAAAACTAACTATAAATCCATTAGTAAAGATCTCAATTTATATATCCAATGTCTAAGGACTATCAGACAGCAATTAAAAATAATTAAATGAACTATATGCATTGTTGGTAAATGTTTTCCAAATGTGTTAAAAGGAAATCAAAGTCATGGAACACTACAAGAGAACAACTACTTAGAACTTTCAAGGTGTATTTTGTTTTAAGGAAATACATTATCTTTAGATGGCAGGTAGATAAAGATAAAGTGGGGGGGGCTCTTTATTTACACATGCTTTGAATTTTTAAATTCCTAAATACATCCTTTATTTCTATTAATGTGCACACGTGCGCGCACACGTGTGTGTGTGTGTGCGCGCGCGTGTGTGTGTGTGTGTGTGTGTGTGTGTGAGTGTTTATGCAAAGAAAGCATTAGACTCCCTGGAGCTAGAATTACAGGTAGATTTTGAACCACTGAAAACGGGTGCTTGGAGTCAAACTCACTCCAGTCCTCTAAAAACAACCAGCTCTTACCTGCTGAGTCATCTCACCAGCTCCAATTATTATTTCTGTTTGAGTTACAAATATATAAGCTAAAGAGAATACTCGTTTAAGTCAAAAATTAGTAAAATTTAGTAAAGAAAACAGACTTTGGTTGAAAGAAGGGTTGTTATACCTGCAGCTCTGGGGTTTGACAGTAATTTAAAAAATGTATCCTGTCTTTTGACAACAAAGCATTCTGTGGGAATAATTTCTCCCATGGTCCTTAGCTAGAATACAAATGTGTTCCCTGCCTTGTACCTCCTTTTTTCTTTTAAAAAAACACTCTCGTGTTGCCAAGACAGGCTTGTATAGAGGATGACCTTTAAACACTTGCTACTCCTGCCTCCAACTCCCAAGAGCCAAGACTACAGGCATGCAACACCACACCCAGCTTTGAGTTTCTATATCAACAAACTTTTGCCTAGGGATTAGACAATAAATAAACTAATACGCAAGATATCACTAAACTGTTTCATGATGGAGACAACACTATGCCTACCAGTAATACACTCAACCTAGAGGCATACATAGATTAAGTTTCTCACATAACTGTTTTCTCATTTAAGGGATTTGGTCATTTTCTTACAGACAGTCACCACCAGTAAATCTGTATTTTTAAAAGTGACTTAGAAAAACAACTCATCTAACAATAACAAACAGTATCCAAAACCTATTGTTAGCAGGAGTTTTGCATTTGCTTCAGGATACTTATATTTTAAATTATTAATTTCAGAACTATGGATGACATCTCCATCAAATATAGATATAAGTATGCTGCAGCTACAGTGACTGCTATTGGCCTACAGTGTCACTTGGAGGCAGAGTCATGAAAAGCCCACATGCCAAGTCCTACCACCATCAAAGAAAACACACCAAACAAAAGACAGTAAACTGACATTTATATCTACGAGATTTTTCAAGTTTTAAAATTCTATTCAGACATTTCATTATTTATTCATCCCTCCTTATTTACTGACTTCACACTGAATTCTATTTATCACAAATAACTCTCTGTAGGTAAGATACAAAGAAACAATACTTATAATTAGAGCAATTTTCCCCACACAAAACAAGGTTTTCATGAATTTCTTATAGCATTTTACAACACATTAATGGAGTCACTTGGCTTATTCTTTAAGTGGCAAGACAGCAACACAGAGAGCAAGAATTAATATTAATATATCATTATATTCTAAGCACAAAGAATGACGTCTATCATAAACTAAATGCTTAATAAGTGAAGTGGGACAGAAGAACATCAGGGAGAAGGGCGGGAGGGATGTGGGAAAGACACGGGACAGTTCTAGATATGCACTATCCAGAATAGCCACTAACGTAAGTGAGTTTAGCATCTGCTAACAGAAGAAAATTCAATCCCTGAGTTAGAGTAGCTAGCTATACTTCAAATATTAGCCACGTGTGGACAGTCACTACCACTGGACAGTGCAGACAGAAAATTAACACTGCTTTCTTCTTATACACACATTTGTATGAATATTTTTAAAGAATTTTTGTAACCATTTCAGCTTCTGAGAAAGATAATTTTGAATTGAAAGAAAATTTTGATAGTTTCAAATTCTTTTAAATTTGAACTCACCATGAATCTCCTTGATACGCAGTGTATTCTGATGCATTCCATATTTCAGAATCAACTGTTCCAGATAGTAGAAAGTTTTCTTGTGCAGAGTCTAAATATCCATACATTATAGCATCAAAAAATTACATGCCAAAAAAAAACATTTACAAATATAGCATCATCTACAGATACAGAGGATTGATTTTTAAACAAAATATCCTTTAAAAATTAACTAAAACATAAAATAGTAATATATTTCCAAAGTTGAATGTTCTGCTTATACATAAAGGACTTAGGGAACTGAGAAGACTTTATTCACTATTGGAAACGGACAGTGATAAAACTCAAGATTCAGGATTCGCTCATCATCTGTTTTCAGTACCTTCTGCCTAACTTGGATCACAGCCTTCCAGAAATCCTTAGCTTCTACTCTATGGCAGTCTCCACACATTTGGGACTGAACAACATAATCCACCACAAACACTTGCTGCAGGATAGCACCATTCATCACCTGGAAAAGAAAGCAGTTGCACTCCTTCACTCCTGGTTGTTCAATAGTGAATAGTTAAACTAAAAATAAATTCTAATTTTAAAAAAATTAGTTATTTAAAATGTTTTCTATGAATGCATTAAGAATATCAATAAGTCAAAATTAAAACTATAAAACTAAGTTATACTACGTATTTGGGGTGGAGGGAAGGGTACAACCAAGGATTCAGTATGGGACCTCATGCATGTTGATCAAGCTCTCTACCCCTTAGCCATGTCCTCCAGTGGCTACATTGTTTAAAGAAAGGAACATGGGGAATTCCTAAGATTAAATTATCTTTTTAAGTTTACCTCTGAAAAAGTGGTTGTGAACATATTCTTTTAATAATGTAGAAAGTGGGAATATGGTTTGATTGTACAGTGTTTGATTGTTCCTCATGCTTGAAGCCTTGGGTTTGATTCTCGCCACCACACAAAGCCAGGCATGCTGGCACACATCTATAATTCCAATACTTGGGAAGTAAAAGCAGGATGATCAAAAGTTCAAAATCACTCAACTATTTACTGAGTTTAAGAACTAGATCTAAAAACAATTTTTAAGTTGTATACACATGTATATGATATACATATGTATATATGTATGCCTATGTGACACACAAAGAATTCACTTTTAGAAGAACATATGGGTGATAAAAACTACCAAGGGTTAAACATGGTGGTGCACATCATGTTTTATGCCAGCACTCAGAAAAGTAAAAGACAGGAGGATCTGCGTTCCAAACCAGCCTAGTCTACTAATCCTAGGCCACCAAAGAACGCCTGGTGAGAATCTATCTTAAATAAAAACAAAACCTTTAAAGAGACTACTGAATACACTAATTCTGACCAATTTTAGTTACTAGTCACCTAACCATGTCAGATGACCAAAAGATAACAAAAGACTAAGACTTAGACTGTATTCTTCCTTTTAATCCATTTAATCCATAAAATAATTTAACACTAGCCCCTCATTCTCACTACTTGCACTTTAATCATGTTTAGAAAGTGAACAGCTTACCTCTTTCTGAATTGTCAATTTAACTTTAAGTCTCTTGGAATGGGGCTCAGTCCAAACAAAGCCTGCATCAACAAGCCGAACCTTTAGTAATAGGGGGAAAAAAGGAAATCTAAATCCCCGCCTGAGAGGTGGAAAGATGATTGAATACCTCATTAATAAACAGACTCAAATCAGAGAGGCTTAGGCCAGCAGTTAATGGGAATAGATGCAGAGACCCACAGCCAAACATTAAGCAGAGAACAAGCCAAAACTGGAGCTCTACTGGATCCCTCCCATGCAGCTCAGGGAACTCCTTGGAAAAAGGAGTGGGGAGATTGTAGGAGCCAGAGGTATAGAAGACACCAGGAGAACATGGCCCGTGGATCAACTAAGCAGGCTCACAGGGGCTCACAGACTGAAGCAGCAATTATGGAGCCTGCATGGGTCTGTACTAGGTCCTCTACATATATCTTATGGTTGTTAGCTTGGTGTTTCTCTGGGACTTCTAACAGTGGGAGTATGAAGTGCCTCCGACTTTTCGTCTGTTCTTGGGACCCTTTTCATCTTACTGGGTTACCGTGCCCAGCCTTGATGGAGATATGTGCCTAGTATTACTGTATTTTGTTATTCTAGTCCATATTCAGCTGACATCCATGGGAAGCCTGATCTGTTCTGAAAGGAAATGGAGGAGGAGTGGATCTGGGGAAAAGTGGAGGTGACTGGGGAATTGGGAGGAATGGAAGGAGGAAAAATTTCTGTCATGATGTATTGTATAAAAGAATTTTAAAAAAGGAAAAAAAACAGACTCATAAGATCTTTGAAGGGACCTTTGATGTGATTAACATCATTACAATCTATCATTATAAAAAAGAAAAAAGGTTTATCACTAAAACCATGACAACAATAGCAGCAAATGAAAGGCAACCCAATGACTATACTAGTGAATCGAGCAAGAATTAAAAGTAGCTTTCACAGAGGAAGAAAAAATTATTTAAAGAAAAAAAAAGTACTGTTCTTCAAACAGAAATTTACTTTTTCATAAGAAAATAAACTGATGTCTTCATTACCCAAAAGCAACCACACAAGCATAAGCTTCTATTCAAGTTAACATCTTTCTACATTAGTATGTGGCCTCTTTATTTTTTCCTTTAAAGAATGGACATTTAGGGGAGAGATGGCTCAGTGGTTACAAACACCAGCTGTTCTTTTCAAAGGACCTGGGTTCAATTTCTAATACCCACATGGCAGCTCACATCTGTCTGTAACTCTAGTTCCAGGGGATCTGACACTTTCACACAGACATACATGCAGCCAAAACACCAATGACCATAAAAAAATTACAGAATGAGTTTCAGGGCTACACAGAGAAACCCTGTCTGTGGGTAGGGGAATGGACACTCTTTTAGGAAATGTTCACGTACTATGTAACTATAATACAGGTAGATCAGGAGCTAAAACTGAACATAATGCAGTAAGGCTAGAATGAGAGCTCTAAAACAAAGAGACAGAGAGAACAAGTATGGAGGCTTTGTAATAATCAAAGTAGGAACCTGAACTAAGAGGAACCAGAAATAAGCAAAGTAAAAGCTACTTAAAAGATAATTTTATAGAATTTAATTTAATACTTATATATTAGAAAGAAGAAGAGAACATACACTAGTACAATACCCAAGTATGACACTTAAACAGCTAGGTATTAAAATTTTTTTGACACAAACAACAGATTTAATGGAGAAAGATCCCCTCCTGGCATCTATGACTTACATAAGTAGACAGATGATACTGGTCTGGAGGTACACAGAAAAATTTGTTAAATAACAGACTGAAAAGTGTGAATAGGCAGATTATAATTGTATCAAATACTGTCTAGTAAGAACAAGACTAGCCAAGGCAGATAGATGCAGTACTCAAGAATAAAGCCCATCTAATATGACCGAGTGAGCTATAGCAAATCCCAGTAGTCAAGAGATTAAGCCAGAATAATAAGCAGTTCCTAACCACCTCCTCTCTCCTACCCTCAGTGTCATTTCGTGTCTATCCCCCCCCCCCCCAGTTAGTATCTGCAGGAGTTAGGTAGAAATACAGAGCACTAAATAAGTCTGCCTACTCTTCCTAAAGCCTCGAACCTCCATCTGCAGAAACGTGAGACCTTGACATACACTTCAGCATTCCTTAACATGCTCAGCATACTTGTTCTTAGAGAAGCAATTGCCAACGTTATTGAGTCCTTTGTCCTTTATCGTAATTCCAGATACCTCAGTCTCCCTCTCATTTCCTACAATCCAAATTCCAAATGGTTCTTTAGTCTCGTCTGTACCCATTTAACATTTTGAAATCCTAACATCCTTTTACTATGCTCTCTATTTACAAAAATAATAATAATAAAATTTTAAAAATTAAGAAAAAAAAATCAATAGAGCATCCTTTTCCCTTTCTAGTCATCCTGACTGTACTGCTTCACTCCAGACAATTAAAAAGTCCAAGGGCAAGATGAATCAATAACTTGAAAGATTTCAGAACTTAAAAATAATACTACTAAGGCTAGAGAGAAGTCTCAGTGGGTAAGAGCACTTGCTGTTCTTCTAGAGAACCCGAGTTTGACTCCCAGCACTCACAAATCAGATTACAACCATCTGTAACTCCAGTTCCAGGGGACCCAACACTTTCTTCTGACTTCTAAAGGCACTGAACACACATAATATACAGACATATATGCAGGCAAAGCATCCACAGAAATAAAATTTTAAAATTTCAACGAATTTTTCTAATAAAATAAAAATACTACTGCTTCACAAAGATCAATATTAAAAAGTAAGAGAGAGTGTATGTGTGTATGTTTGTGTATTAAAATACTATATGGGACTAGCAAAACGGTTCGGTGGTAGAGTACTGACAATTTATGGCAAAGATCCTCGGTTCAATTTCTAGCCCCAAAGCAAAAGGAAAAGAACACAAGAGAAAAAAACAAACAACAGCCACCATAATAAAGCAAAACCCACAGCAAAGGATTTTCTGAAAATGAGTGTTCCTATGAAAAAGTACACCAATTTTAACTATTGACCTACCTTACTCAGAGGAGCTTTAATTTTTTTCAAACACAAAGCAAGAAGTTCCCTGGATTCTAAAGCACACTGTACCCATGATGCTGGTGGCTGAAAATATCTGAAAGAAGATAACATTCTAAAGTTTGCCACTTTTCAGGAAAAAAAAAAAAAACAGCAATTTCCATTAACAGACAGAAATGATACTGATTATTAAACAGGAGTAATACTCAAAGCTATTCTACTTTTTTTTTAAAGATTTATTATATACAATATTCTGCTTGCGAGTGTGGGTGTGTATGTGTGTGTGTGTGTGTGTGTGTCTATGTCTGTGTCTGTGTCTGTGTGTGTCTGTGTCTGTGTGTCAGAAGAGGGTACCAGATCTCATTATAGATGGTTGTGAGCCACCATGTGGTTTCTGGGAACTGAACTCAGAACCTCTGGCAGAGCAGTCAGTGCTCTCAACCTCTGAGGCATCTCTCTAGCCCCCTCAAAGCTACTCTAAAGCTTCAACCCAAAGAGATTAAAAACCCACGAAACCAGTGTCTTTAGTTCAAAACTAATATTCTAATATTTGGAGAAAGCCAATCTGAGATATCTGCTATATATTTTGTCATTTCAATTAGTAAAAACTGAAGTTAAGAGACCACTGAAGACGGCTCAGGACTGACAACCTGAGTTCACACAGTGAAAAGAGAACCAACCTCTATAAATAATCCTGACTGTCACATGCATAGTGTGACAAAGTGCACAAACATACAAAATAAATATATAAGTGTTAAAAATAATAAAATATTCCAGTAAGGAGGGCTGGAGAGATGGCTCAGTAGTTAGGAGGACTCACTGTTGGGCAGCTCGCAAATACCTGTAACTCTAGCTCTAAGGGGATTCAATGCCCCTGGCCTTCAGAGACACCAAACGTGCACACAGCTACTCATAATTTAAAAAGACATTTTTTAAAAACAGTAAAAATGGCAGTATTTCCAAAATTTCTTTGAAGATATACTGATCAACAGGTAAGAATTATCTCAAATGACACCAAAATTATTTATTTTATACTTCTAAAATGTTTGAGAAACATTTTTTCACACAAAAACAGAAAAACTAGTATACACAGAACTGCATATCAAAAGTTCAGTCATCAAGTTTCGTTTCAATTTTTAAGCTGAAAAACACAAGTTTTCAAAATAAGCCTCAGTAAGTCAGGCATGGTGGTGCACACTTTTAATTCCAGCACTTGGGAAGCAGAGACAAACAAACTCTGAGTTCCAGGCCAGCCTAGTCTACAGAGCAAGGTCCAGAATAGTCAGGGCTACAGAGAAATTTTGTCTTGAAAAAAAAAAATACAAAATTTTACTCATTAAAGTAAAATACAAGCCGAGCGGTGGTGGCGCATGCCTTTAGTCCCAGCACTTGGGAGGCAGAGGCAGGCAGTTTTCTGAGTTCGAAGCCAGCCTGGTCTACAGAGTGAGTTCCAGGACAGCCAGGACTATACAGAGAAACCCTGTCTCAAAAAAATAAAAAATAAATAAATAAATAAATAAATAAATAAATAAAGTAAAATACAAATCCTTTCTGTAAATTAAGAATTTTTTAACTCAATCTTTCAAGGTCTAGTACTCAGTCCTTAATAATGTTTGTTAAATACTTTCACATGAGTTATGTAAATGCTTTCTTGCCATGGTTACTAAATGGTTAAACACTTTGATTATCCTTTTTCAAGGTTCAATAAAAACCATTTATTTATAAGTATTTTCAAAAGGTATTTCAAATACTACATATAATCTAATAACCCTTCATTCTCATGAGAAAATTGAGAGTCAATGAAACTATATCTAAGCATGACAGAAAACCAGCTGATAGGAAATTCTAATAAAAACTAGGAGTCCTGATTCTTTGCTTAGTACTTTTAAAACTCCACTACGTATTTAATAATAAATATTTATAGCAGACCAAAAGCCTCATGCATACCAGGTTCACACCCTGTAAACTCCCTAAAATAGTACACTAAATTCATAGGTTTAAGTATGTGCACAGAGATTTGGGGAAATACATTTTGAATTCTTACAGAGGTCCACAGACAACCTCCACATACACAAAGCAAGTGCTAAATCTATTTAGGAAGTCACAGGCATATAACTTATATACACTGGCAAGGTTTATGTCTCTCACTAGACATATTGATAGATGTAAATGGCTTGTGCCAACAACTAAAGGAACAAAACTGAAGAAGGAATGAAATATCAGCTCTCAGAAGGCATCTTTTACTGTCAGATTCACTATCTGTACACTTTTACTTTTAAACAAATACTTTTACTATCCTTACCAGATTAGTAGGACAGTAGAAAGCACAGTATAAAATTGCAAATTATTAAATCCTTGGTAACATCAACTAGGTAAAAATTAAATCTCAACAGCACATGCTTCATTCTGTGTACTTCAGTGTAATCTCAGCATACCACAGTGGCTCTCTGTATGAAGACCAATTTAAGGAAGCTAAACAAGTAATGTACAGTACCTTTGACATTGTTTGCAGAAAGAAATGGAGACTTGCTTTGGAACACCTTGGCTGATGTCAACTTTACTTCGTAAACAGGCCACACAAATATTGGCAGGATTTGGACTAATTGGGACACCACACTCACAGCACAAGCTTAAGAAAATAAAGAATATATTAGACTTTATAAATTCACTAGTCAAAAAAACCAAAAACCAAAAAACAAGAACAACCCTTACCAAACCAAAGCCTTCAAGATTCTACTGTTTAAAGGAATGGGGAACTCAATGGGCCAAAGGGCTTCCAGCTCTTGTAGCAAACAGGGACTAGTTTCCAGCACACAGAGGCAGCTCACAATCATCCTTACATAACTACAGTTCCAAGAAAGTCTATCCCTCTTCTGATCTCCATGGCCTTCTGCATGCACTTGGTACACACACACTCAAGCAGATACACATAAAATAAGTTTGTTTGTTTGTTTGTTTGTTTGTTTGTTTTTAAAAGACAAGGTGAGTGTGGTGGGAAATCTCTTTCATCTTAATAATCAGGAAGCAGGGCACATAGATCTGTGAGTCCCAAGCCAGCCAGAGCTTCATAATGACAGCCTGTCTCAAAGAGGGGAAAAAAGGCAGAACAAAGACAATCTTAAAGACAGAGTGAAGAACAACCCTGGAACAGCGGCAAAAATCAAAAGGCTACAATTCTGAAAATGCTTATACCTTCACGGCACGGTGCAACTTTGCAATGCAAATGAACTTCATACAATGATAGAAATGTTCTAGTCCCTTGTCATCTCTTCTTTAAAATTGGAAAACTAAGAAAAAAAGAAATTAACAATGCAGATAGCCTAACATCAAGACTCAAAACTAACTTGCACTCCATTTCAACAATCTGTAAGACAGCCAGCGTGATGGTGCAGATCTTTGCCCAGCACTTGGCGGGCAGAGGCAGGCAGGTCTCTGTGAGTTCCTAGAAATCGGGACTTAACATGGTAAAGACTGTCCCAAAAGCAAAACTAACAACCAAAAGAAACAAGATATATAAGATCAGTTTCTCTTCAGTCTTAAGACACATCTGACTAGGCTAGTTGGAGCTCTCTTTGTTCTGAGCAATAGCTCTACCATGTGTAGGTCCCCTTTACAATGAACAGTAAAGGAAAATGTACGGATAACATGAAAACAGAAAGGAGACTATTAAGGAAAGGAAAGGGACTCATGGAAGGGTAGGGGAAACAGAGAAGCATAGTGGCAGGGTAAATACAAACACTGTACAATGTTAAATACACGGACTCTCATATATACATGAAAACATGAAACCCAGTATTTTTTCAAGGATTTATTTATTATATTTATATGAGTACACTGTAGCTGTCTTCAGACACAACAGAAGAAGGCGTCAGATCCCATTACAGATGGTTGTGAGCCACCATGTGTTTGCTGGGAATTGAACTCAGAACCTCTGGAAGAGCCGCAGTCAGTGCTCTTTACTGCTGAGCCGTCTCTCCAAGCCCCCAAATCTAGTATGTTAAAAACTAGTTTTAAAAGGAAGAACAGACTAAATACAGGAAAAGACGTGCACCTATGCCTACCGATGCTCTAAACGACGGGAGGATACCTCTAGCATACTGGAAGCAAAAAAAAAAAAAAAGTTTAAAGCAGGCTTGACATAATCTCAGCAGTGGAGAGACTAAGGCTGAAGGAACAGGCCCTCAAGGTCAGCCGAGGTTACAGAGTGAATTCCAGTACAGAGTGAATTCCAGGCCAACTGGGGCTATGTAACAGGACTCCATCGAAAGGAGATTTCAACAAAACGACACAAAGTCTGTGAACCTCTGTCACTATGGCTCACGGTCGCCCAAAGAAAACTCTAATCATCTTCCAGTGGCAGTCACTAGCTGCATGTGAGCACTGAGCACCGTGTGGCTGGTATGACAGGAGCCGAGGGACAAACTCCCACGTCCACTTGGGAATGACAGTGACCAGTGACGACACACTGCCGTGCCTCTCTAGAAGGACGTCTAGTAAGAACTGTTCTCAAAGCACGTATTTTCCACATCGAACTTAAAACCAACTAGACTTCCTATGGGATCAAGACCTAACAGTTTTCCCCATCAAGAAATGGACCTCTCCTACCATTAAAAGTTTTCTCACTGTGTTTTACCACCTGGAAACATTAAGGGATGAAGGAGGGCTCGCAACTCACATGTGTCCCGGGCTGCGGTCAATGGATTCTGTCATGTACTCCATGGTTCCGGACCTATTAAGGGGAGGGAAGGACCAGTGAGACTTAGATCAGGCAGAGTCTCCAGAGCCTCGGGGACAGGCGTCCGACACACAAGCCCCGGGGCCGGGAGACGCCGCCCCGCACGGCCCTTCCGCCTTCTCAGCGCCCCGGTCCCGCATGCGGCCGGCCTCTGGCCCGCACCCACGCTCCAGCGGCCACGCGGGCCGCTTGCGGCCGGGGTACTGGGTCCGGCCTGTTCCCTCCTCTGGCCGCAGCTGTCGCTGGAGCCGCAGCTCCCCGAGAACCTACCAGCACTTCCGTAGGACAGGCCAAATCACACGAACAGCCGGCAACCCACCGGCCGGGACGCACTATCAGTTACCTCAGCCGCCCCACGCCACTAGGAAGATATCGCGATAGGAAAACCGGAAATCTCACGTACTGAAGGGTACAGGCATGGGGGCGGTGGGCGGAGTCAAAAATCCACGTGTGGCAAAGGGCGGGCCCTGTGGAGGGACTGGGATGTGGGAGGCGGGGCGAGCTGAGCAGGCTCGTCACAGCGATTACTTACAGCAGCTAGGTCTCTGTAATCAGTCCACCGGTTCCATACGCCCTTTTAAAATCCTCGGCTCAGCTCTATAAGAGAAGGCTCACCGGTTAAAAGCAGTTGTTCTTACAAACTGAATTCTATTTCCATCACTCACATGATGGTCTCATAGCTGTCTAGAGTTCCAGTTGGAGAGGATCTGCCGCCCTCTTAACACCTAGGGCATCAGCCAGCCACAAACTTGGTGCATATACATTCATGCAGGCAAAACATTCAAATACATAAAATACATGGACCTTTCAAAAAAAAAAAGCCACTATAAATGTCACCATGGATAACCTATGAATATCAAATCATTGTTTACTGAACAACTGATATAAAAAAGAAAGAAAAACTGAAAATTTTGTATTGCAATCACTGTACTTTTAATGGTAAGCAGAAAAAATACGACGTTTTTTCATTAAAGAAAATTATTTTTCTTAAAGAAATAATTCGGACATATTTTTCTCAGAAGTGGATTCACAAAATAGATGAAAACAGATATATATCAGCAACTGTTACAGAAACTGGTGTCAAAAGGAAGACATTTCTAAGAATGTTTAGGTTTATTTTGAATGTTTTGCCTACTAAATGCATGCTGGATGCCAGAGGAGATCAGAAGGCAGCTACTGGTTATGAGCCACCTTGTGGGTGCTGGGAACTGAAACCATGTCTTGCAAGGACAAGTGTTCTTAACCTCTGACCCAACTCTCAAGCCCCAATATAGACATTTTTATCCATGGAGTCATCAGAGAGGAAGGAACCTCAGTTAAGAAAATGCCTCCATAAGATGGAGCTGTAGGCAAACCTACAGGGCATTTTCTAAATTAGTAATTGATGGAGGATGGCCCAGCTGATATTATCAGTATTAAAGAACCAACATATTAACTCCATTAATGGACTTAAGAGGCTAAAATAGCACACAATCATACCAACTAACACAGAAGAAGCATTTGACAAAATATAAAACTATAATATATAAATAATAAATACTTATATAATAAATATATATATTTACATATAACTATAAAAATCTTTAAAAAATAAGAACAGAGGAAAGTGTCCCTAATTTAATAAATAGTTGCAACCTATACTGCCTTCTAAGATTAGAAGTAAAAATAGGTGTTTCTACCACTCTTACCATGGTAGGAGTCCAACACACTGCAATAAGACAAGAAAAAGAAATTAAAAGTATGTACATAAAAATGTAAATAAGAAAAAAATGAACCTGCCTCCAAAGGCAAATGACATTATTGTTTTTTGGAAATGCCAAGAACAGTTTCTAGAAGTAATATATGACCTCAACAGGGTCTCAAGATACAAGAAAAATATACAAAAATTGATTAGATATATTTATATTTATTTATATTATGTGTGTCTTTGTGAGCCTATGTCATATGTGTGCGGGTGCATGAGGAGGCCAGAAGAGGGTGTCAGATGCCCTGGAGCTGGAGTTACAGGTGGTTTTAAGCTGCCCAACACGGAGGCTGAGGATCAAACTCTGGTCCTGTGAAAGAGTAGCAGATATCCTTCACTGCTGAGCCGCCTTTCCAGCTCCATAAAATTATATGTGTTTTATAAAACATTTATAATAAACATTGAAATGTAGCTACAATATAAATTATAGTTACTTATTTTAAAGATATGCCTAATTTCTACTCAAACAGACAAGGGTGTTTATGTTCTCTACTTTTAGTCTAAGGACTCTAATTGGATTCCATGACAGTAGAGGTTCTGTGTTCCCCAATGAAGAGGGTTTAAATTTGAATTCATCTTATCAAATAGAAGTGGAAGGATTTCCTTTTTGGATTGGGCATGAAGTTCGTATTTGAAAGTTATATCTCGGGGATAGTTATCTGTCATTCATACTTGAACAAAAATGGAGGATACAGGAACCTATTCATTTTAATAGGTGAGGCGGTTAAAGGAAATATTACCAATGATCTTTGCATTCCACCTCATTTTCCCCATTGTCACACTCTGTTGTCTCAGAGTTCAATAAATGGATGCATTGGGGACAACGTAGAGGACCAGAGCTGTGAGCTTGCTGTGGTAATGTCATAGATTGGCACCTACAGGCTCTGCTTGCACCAAAGGTGCAGAAAGACACAGAATTAAGATAGTTCTATAATAATAATAATAATAATAATAATAATAATATCACCACCCATGGCAATGAATCTGAGGGGTTAGTATGACATGGGAGAGGATGGCACCTTCTCTCTTCATATGGAGAGAGGAGCTACTCATAACCATCTTTGGAAATTAATATCAGCATTGTGGAACATTTGGGCCTGGAAAAGGAATATATAGAAAAATACTTCGAACAATGAGACTATGTTCTCTTTTGTTTAAAAAAAAATGTATCTTATCTTGTGGCTGTTGGCAGGCGGGTGAGCAGGTCCCACACCTGCCTGCCTGGACAGCACAACAGAGCTGGCCCTGGTAGTACAGGCATTGGAGAGTTGTCCTGAGAGTAGGAGAACTGGTCCCACCTTTTGCCAACTGCTATAAGCAGGAGACCTGGCCCTACCCCTTGCCTGGACACCATGAGAGAGCTGGCCCCAAGGACTCGAGAGCTGGTGAGCTGGCTCCACCCCTTCCCATCTACGGCACTTGAGAGAGTGGCCCCACCCCTGCCTAGGCAGCAGAGTAGAGCTGGCCCTAGTGACATGGGTATGGAAGAATGAGCTAGAGGGTGGGAGAGGTGGCCCCACCTCTTGCCCACTATCACAAGCAGGAGAACTGGCCCTGTCCCTCACCTGGGCAAAGCAGGAGAGCTGGCCCTAGTGGCATGGGTGCAGGAGAACTGGAGGGCTGACCAATTCAGCTTCTACCTAGACCTAGATCCAGGGCTTTTGTTGGCCCACCCCAACATCTACCCCATGTATGAACTGCTGGAGCACATGAAGGGGTTAGTCCTAATGATCCAAAGCTGTAGGAAGTCCATGACTCAGGGCAACAACGGGATATCCAAGAGGAGTCCCAGTGAGAATCCAAAATCAATAGTCACAGAAGTCAGAGGCCTCAAACTAGACCAATGACTCATTGCAAAGAACATTCGCAAACAAAGAAGTGTGGGAAAAAGGGCATACTGTGTGACACACTGCAGTTTCCACAGTGAGATACTTTTTTACTTTATTTCATTTTGCGTTTTTCTATTTTATTTATTTGGTTGGTTGGTTGGTTGGTTGGTTGGTTGGTTGGTTGGTTGGTTTGGTTTGGTTTGGTTTGGTTTGGTTTGGTTTGGTTTGGTTTCTCTTGGAGGGGGCGATGCAAGGACTGAGGGCAGCAGATATGAAGGGTACAGGGAGACAAGTGGGATTGGAGTGCATGATATGAGATTCACAAAGAATCAATCAAAGGTTTTAAAAATGTGTATCTCATAACATTCTGGCATCTTGTTTGCCTTCCTTACTTGTTTATGATTGGCAAAACTACTCAGAATCAATTTGAAGGATATGTGTCTTATTCCAAGCGTTCTTTATTCCTATTAATTTGAGCTTCAGAGCACTTATGTACTTTAAGTCCAGATTGATGTTTGGATGCCTATAGAGAGGGCTCGTGCCTGGGAAGAATCTCCTTTCATGTCTACGCGTTATTGTATGTTGGATCAAATGAAGAAAAGGATTAAAGAATGGTTGAACTAATTGTTCCCATTGTGTTGGGGGTTGTTGCCTTTACTACCACTGCTGCAACTGTTGGAGTAGCCCTGGGTCAACACATCCAAAATGTACCTTATATTTTAGACTGACATTCTGATTCAGAAAAATTGTGAAACATTCAAAGACTTATAGATAGTATGCTCCATGCTGAAATCACTGATTTAGAATCAGCTGTGGTTATGGTAGGTGATCAAGTCATTAGCTTACAAAGACAGTTCTCATTAAGATGTGATTGGAATGTGACTCAGTTCTGTGCATTGCAATGAGGCCCTGTTCCCTTGGGATTAGGTGAGAAAACATTTATTAACTCATAGTAACTCAGGAAATATTAAAATTATAGGCAGATGCTAATGGCATGTTTGCAGACCAAGTACATGGACTAGACCATCTGGCAATGGATTATTGGAGAGTATTATGATGGATTGGGGAGTTAATGATGTAATGTTTATACTGATTGTTTGCTTGTTTTTGTAATTTTTAATGGCCCAGAGGAAAACCTCCTGACATCAAGAAATGACACAACATCAAGCAGCTGTATTCAACACTATGTTACAAAACATGGCTAAACGAAAAGGGAAAGATGAAGGAGATCTGCTGAACTGATGCCAGACATCCCTTGAAAACAAGAGGATATTGCAGAATTTCGGCAGAATGCTGCCTTCACAGTCCAATGAGTACTTCCTTGGCCAGGCCTCACATTCTTCACATTTATCTTCTAGGGAAAAAATATTTCAATTAATAACATATAAAAAGGTGCTCTTTGTCCAGGAAAAAAAAAAGAAGCAAACATTATAGATTTAGTCTTGCGTACTATGTATTTTGTAATCAGAGTTGCAACAGTATAATGTGATTAAGAATAAAGACTCTGAATCCTTTGCTGTTCCTCATCTCATGACCCTGGTCTCCTCAACCCCCAGCTTTCACAAGAAGATTCAGATTTAAACCTACAAAACTGCAGCCCCAATACATGTTTTTACAGAGATGCTCGAAATACACATTGATAAAAAGGCAAACTCTCTGAAGATGGTGCTGGATAAATTGACTATCACATATAGAAGAAGGAAGCTAGACTCCTATCTTGCATCCAGCACAAAAATCAATCCTATATGGATCAAAGACCTTGAAAGGTAAAGGCTGTCACAATGAAACTGTTAGAGG